GAGGGCACTGAACCTCAGAGAGACTGGGAAGCTGATGCTAAACCACCGAGAACACAAGCGGGGGCAGAGCTCTTTGGCATTCCAAGGGCAGGCAGCTGTGTGGGCAGTGTGGGAGTGGGCCAGAGACAGCTAAGAAGGAGGGGCACTCCCACCAAGGCCACCAAGATTCTGGAACAGTCATGACAGTACTTCATCTGGAGACCCTCCCTCATGGGTCTCATCTTCCGTGTCAATGGTGCTATGGGCCATGCAGAAGTTTCTTGATGTCACCCAGCTATCTGGAAAGTGGGAGAGCAGTGTCAAGCAGGAGACACCATGACACCCACGCTGACTTTTCAGGACAGAATCCTCTCCTCGGTGAGGCACACGGCCCACTCTGCTTCTAAAATAAAGCTAACAATCCTAGCAAGAGGCAGCTTATGGGGTGATACATGACCACTGGCTATCCTCTACACCCTGCACAGCAAGGTCCCAAACTCTGGTCCCATTAGAACCAACCTGGAGGAACACCCCAGTCTCAAAGAGCCATGGGTCAACCCTCTGGGTGACTAGATCACAAAAGTACAATTATAAATGTGTGGTTCTCCAGCAGAATATCATTACGACCTTCTAACTGGGGGCTTCACTCTTCCTCTTCTACATGTACCTCTTCCCTTGGAGTCAGGACACGACTGACTAAGCTTTCAACTTGCAGGCCCAGCTCGTCTGGACGAGGAAGTCAGTCCGTATAAAGTACTTCAGACGCTCAGGCCACTACCAGATCAACCAGCCTCCCTTTGCAGTCGGGCACACATGTAGGCATCCTCAGCACCTGCACTCCAAAAGCCCCCAGGGGTGGTTCCGGCGCGCACTGTAAACAGGGAGTAGAGTCTAAGCCTTCGAAAGAAACAGTATGCAGCACCCAGGTGATAGCTATCGGACGTAGGAGCTCCTACCACCACTCCGCACAGGTGTGCAGTGGGATGGACGCGGTAACTTGCTTGGCCACACTGAGTGTCTCAGTGGTGCGTGTCAGAAACTCTGAGCATCTTATATACACACAGTAGCAAACACCTAATAAAAAGCAAAGGGGATGGGTCCTAGAACAGGACCCATCTTGAAATACAATCTTTCTTTTCTACCTGGGACCCTAGAACGAGAAGCACCCATAGTGATTAATTCATCTTTACAGGATCATGTCAGACGGCAGCAAGGCTGGCACCACATGGCATGTGGGTGGTTTTGGAAACTCCTTCACATTCCTGAGGGTGAAAACAAATACAGCAAAGGCGGTTTTGTGCTGAGGCAGGGGCCTCCTGATTTCAATTCACTCAAGAAAATAGTTACAACCTCTACAGAGAATAAATAGAGAAAGGGTAGGGTGGTGAGGCTGGTTTAGCGCAGATGTTCCCTTCTGGTAAGCTGGGCAGAGACAGGCTCAGCGGTTCCAGTCACAGGCAGGTCCCTCAAGAGCAGGTGGCACGCATTTCCCAGGAAGAAAATGGGAAGGGTACTGAGAACCGAAGTACTGAGTATCATATCTGGAAGAAGGCAGGAAAAGCCCTCTGTGTATACACAGGACCATCCCTCCCTTAACCTGATCCTGACGGGAAGGAGACATCCGCAAACTTGCGACAAAAGAGGCGACTGGAACTGAAGATGTACTCCCCTGGGAATCCCGACTGCTTAGATGAAGGCATATCCGAGACATTTCCACACTGATGAATGAACTCTGCATATACCTGTAAAGATCTCCAAGCTACAAAAGAGACCTCTTGTCATGTTACCCACTGTTTGCATATGGGAGACTTCACTGGCCAGTAGGACTTCAGGACCCAGTTTTGAGTCCTTCCTTTTATCTTTAAGTAATGTCCTCTACTGTACATACAGGACACAACACTTCCCTCAGTCAAGGCCGTCGTCATGACACAAAGGCCAAGTAGCAGAGATGACAGCACACTGCTGACCTCACCAAGCCTCTTCAATCTGATAAAAAGAATTTGACCTCAATCTCATGGGAGACCATAAACGGCAATTCTCCTCAAGGGTGGCCTTCCCAGACCTGGGTCCCTTATGAGATGACAACAGACCAAATGTTTCTACTACATTGAGAAGGCAAAGTTTCTGGAGACAAGCTGTCCACATATGCGCCACCATCATCACGACGGTCTAGAAAGTTAGGGATTTTACTGATTTGAGGATGCTGAGGCCCCGACATCCTACAATGAACCTGCATCTACCCTCAGAATTGAGAGCTCAGCAGGAGGGATCAGAAAGAAAGGTGGTCCCTGGAGGGCTCACGGAGAAGACATAGCATTCTGGGAATTCTGCAGCCCAGAATCTCTGTGTGTGTACAAGACTCAGAAAGGCTGCAGTCAGGTAATTCCACATCCAGAATGGGGCTAAGTTTTGTGCACAGTAATGTCCTGGGGACAAAATGAAGCCTCTTAGTCTCACTGGGCCCTTCCTATTCAGCACACTCCAACTGGCAGCCATGTGGCTCATTCCCTTCCCTATCCAAATAACCATGAGAACAGGACCAGACAAACAGACCTGGGAACTGTTTAAAGTATAGGCTTTTTATAACACCCCAAAACATGTAGGGGTTCAAAAATCAGCTGCTTAGTCATCTGTATTCTTCTGAATTTCTCTGATGTTTGGGGGATTTCTGTTTTATAACATTCATCACCAAACCCTTCCATTCAGAGATGAGAATATGCACACTAAAACTTAAATCTTAAGATCATGAGCTAAAGAGATGGCTAAGTGGTTAAAGCACCGGCTGCTCTTCTAGAGGACCTGTGTGTAGTTTCCAGCACCTACGTGGTGACTAACAATCTTCTGCCACTCCAGAGCATCTGGCACCCTCCTCTGGATTCGGTAGGAACTAGGCACACAAGTGGTGCCCAACATATATGCAAGCAAACTCCCTGTGCACATAAAAATTTTATTTACAAAAAACTTACATATAAAAATTTAAAATTCAATTATAAAATTTAAGATCAGTGGAGTTCTAGATTTTCTCTACCTACCAGGGAGGAAAGAATGCCCCATTCTTCATCCAGGTAGACTAAGTATATAAGCATTCTTTTATCAAAGCATTGTTTTATCAAAAAAAGATGACGTGAATTCAGATCCAAAAGCCAGGTTGCATGGCTGCCTGAACCACACCCGGGCTTCTGATATGAAATGTAGTGCAAGACTGGGAGGATTTGGGAGCTGGTTGCTGACTTAACACAGGAGGCTCATCTTGAAAGAAAAGCCAGCTACAGGATGGGAATCACCGGCTCAGCTCTGTCCTCATCCTGAGCTTACCCTCTGTGTTCATTGCTGCTGCTTGGGGACAGAGTCCTCATTGGCAGGAGGATTCTGAATTTCAAAAACACCTTCAGAGACTAGTTCCCAATTTTATTAGATATACATTCTTATGATACCACTACAGTTCCAAAGGATTTACAATGGCTCAAGATGCCTGCTGAAGAGATGGATTAATAAATCACCAACCCACTGTTTAAGTAGGAAAAGTTATTTAATTCGGAAAATAATTTGAAAATTATACTTATGTTTATGAGAAAGGGAATTAGAGAGGATCTAAGATTAAAATAAAGTTAGTAAAGTGACCTTTTTTTTTCAGTAATTTAATGACAGCCAATGTCAGGATGGAAGCCACGGAGTGATACTCTCCAGTCTTGGGAGGTATACCTGTTTGACTTCAGAATGGGGCATCCCTCTGGACTGTATTCAGTCAGCTAGAAGAGCCACCTGAGCCTGAGTCTTACGTCAGGCACCCACATACACTGTAAGACACCTCCCAAGCTTTCCAAACCCCAGTAGAGATTTTGCTCCTGGAGGAAAGACTTCTGATTAATTCTTTCCAAGTACTGTCTTCAAAGAACAATCACTAAAGTAGAGATCTGTTTCCACTGAAACCTTAGAACTCTGAATTTCCTGAAAACATTCAACTCAATGAGTACATTCTCCTACAAGAACTGACCTGCTCTGAGTCCTCGGTCACTGCCACTCTTTCTGTCATATTGGCTGGGGTTTTTAATGGCTATAACACAGCTTCAGAACTGTACTGGGAAGAACACATACCTACTAGCACTTTAACCAACTAAAATACCTTGCTGTTTGTCCAGTGACGAATCCCAGCAGGAAGAGGTAATATAACCCAGCTTTTCCTCACACCTGTCATCATCAGACACTAGGATATCACTTCCTTTCCACAGATAGCACAAGCAAATAGCCACAGCAGCCCGGTCTTGGTTCTAGCTCCCGGTTCTCAGGATCCAGGAATCCAGGTCTGCTTTGCTGAGCTTCTTTGGGGCCACTCTCCACCGTCTGCCCCATGTGCCTGTCTCCTTCCGCCCTCCCTCGAGAACCACCAAGCTTGTCTCTAAGGTGGCTACTGCCACCCATGAACAGCATACAGGATGTCTCGGGCACTTGGATAATATATTTGTAAATAGGACAGTTTACATACCCTGACTGCTTAATCAGACTTCTGTTCCTACAAGGATGATGCGAGAGCCCAACAGCTCTGATTCACAGAGATGACTGGCACCCTTCATAAAGGAACATTATTGAACTGAGGAAAGTCTCACTGTTGAGCCTGCTCTTCAGTTGTGGAAACTGAGGCTCACAGAATGTATGCACAGGTTCTGAATCACACAGCTAGCAGGTGGCAGAGGACTATGGATCAGACTACTTGATGGTCTCAAATGACCCGCTGCACTTATCAACAGATATGAGAACATGTGTGAAGTAAGACACTGATATGCCTCTTCAGGGTGCCCAATCCCTGCCCTGAGCAAGCTTTATAGGCAAGCTTTTCACCTCTTTCTTTTTACTGTTCAAATCTGCTAACAAGCTCCCATGGTGCCAAGGTACCGCTTGGATTCTAGGTCACAGCTCATTAGAGAAGAAACCACCAAGAAAATGTCTCTCCATCACGAGTTTCAGCAAATCCAAATTCCCAGCTGGGTAACTCTGTACCTGATATCACCACCCCATCAGCTCACCTTGTCGGCCAGGGCTCCTGCCAGGGCCATCCATGGGGTCCAGCCTGCCACCACACCGGAGCCCACTTCCCATGCCATCAGGACACATAGAGCCATTGGCTGAGATGCCAAGGGCATTCATGTGCGTAGGGATAGGCTCAAAGGTGGGGTCCAGCTCCAAGATCAGCCTGTTAAGTTGCTCAATGGACTGGTCAATATCCAGGGTAGGGGAGCCTGGGGAGGGACCAGCGTTCAGCTCTGGATGTACTCCATTCACGACTCTGTCGTCTGAAAATCTGGGCTGGAGTGCTTTACCAGGACAGAGCTGCTGTGTGTCGGGGGGATTTGGCCCATTGCTGATGCCTCTCTGAACAGCCACTCTGCTGCTTGCTCCCCGAGTGGGAGTGACTGGGATGTGGGGTTGGGGTTGAGCAAGGCTAGCACTGTCCACTGTACTGTGGCTGCCCAGCCTGGCCTCCCCATCTGGGGCAAAGCTGTACTGGTGAGCGGCCACCATCTGCTGCTGACGCACCCAGGTCTGGGTGGAATAGTTGCTTTGCCCATAGGCCTGTGTGGGGGTGGGTGCAGAGGGCTTCCTCAACAGGGGCTGCAGCTGCTTTGGCTCACGGCCCCCACACATCCGCTCCCGCTCATAGAGGGAGTCCACGCCAAGGCCTAGGTCTGGAGAAAGGGCACCATTGTGATCTTCACCAACACCGTTGCCAAAGCCATCGGACAGGAGGGAGTTCTGGCTGCTCTTGAGGCAGGTGAAGGGGCCCAGGTGGGTTGACTGTGGCCCTTCAGAGGAGGAGAGAGTACCCAGGCTGTCCACACTGTGCAGGTCATGGTGGGGCATCTCGTCATCCAGAATGTCAGTCTCCCGGTCCTTTAGGGCAGCGTCTCCGTTCACATGGACTTGGGCTGGCACCACGTGGCGCGTCCCACTATACTTGCTGCGCACATCAGTCATGTCTTTGTGGGAGCTTGCAGAGTCTTCCAGGCCAAACCCACTGAGCAGCTGGTCCAATTCAGCCTTCTCCTGGGGGCTCAGGCCCCTCCGTGCTCCCAGGGTTGGGCGTTCTTCTGTCTTATCAGTTCTGGCTGAGGCAGTAGAGTGACCCGAGTCACTGCTGACTGACAGGGTGTGGTCACCGTGGTCTGGACTGCTCGTGGCTGGCATGCCCTGAGGGCTGCCAGGGATGCCAGAATCTGAGGCACTCTTCTTCCTCACCTTGGCATACAGGCTGCCGTCCACTGGGCCTTGTGTGTGTAACACTGTAGGGAAAGTAAGGGACAGGCCGTAAGCCAGGGAGAAAAGGGAATACCACTCCCCACAGTGGCTTATGCAGCTTATCTGGACAGATGAGTCGATCTACAAGGCAACTCAACTGTAAACAGATGCAGGCACAACTAGGCCCCCAAAACTCTACACATCCCCTGCAGAGTGACCATCAATAAAGAAGGATTCATATATCTAACATATTTGGCTAAAATCATTTCTGCCTTTCCAGCCTTACGTTGTTTATCATGCTGGGGATGGAACCCAGGGGCTCGTGCATGGAAGTAAGTACTTTGCCACTGAGCTATAGCTCAGCTTCATGTTTACCTACCCATGTAGAAAACCTCTCCCCACCCCCCAACACAAGATGTCTGGGGATTTCTCATTCTTTGAATCATTAATGTCATTATTCTGAATGCTGGAGAGCAGCTCAACCCGGAGAATCAACTTCATTCTACTCCCATCTACACGTCTAACCTTCTTTGTGCATACAGAGTACTAACTGTCACTGAATTCACTATGTCACTGATAAACCTGCCATCCCGTCAACATTCTGAGATGTGCTGTGATCTAAATGTGCAGCTCAATGGAAAGGGAAAGTGTAGGAATGGCTCGGAGCCTACTGATACAGCACAAGATTCTTGGGTTTTATAGGCATCTGCTAACCGTCGGGATCTCAGAGCCTTCGGGGCTGACATGCACGCACTCACTGCACAGGGAATGTCACGAAAACAATGTGGGCAGGAAGAGCTGACGCCCCCCCCCCCCCCGCTGTTATTAATTAGGGCCCGCACGGCTGTACGTGGAATTCCTGGGCCACAGTCTGCTGACTGGCAGTTGTAATTGCCTTGACCACACAGGGCGTGTCACAGCAAAAGCTTCCTAAAATAAGCTGCAGTTCGCAGTCAGCACATCTTCCCTGGAAGCCTCCCCCATTTCCCGGACTTTCTGTACTGCGGAATTGTAGGCATTCCACAGCAGGGAAGCAGCTGATGGCTGGAGACTCAGGCACCTAGAATTCAACGCTTGAGCCACCATCTACCTATCTGGTAGCTACTGAGCCTATTCATGCGGCAGCTCAGGAGAGACTAGCCCTGAGTATGTGTCCCATGGGCCCTCAGTACAGCTGGAGACTTGGTCACACTCTGCAGCTGCTGCCTCTTCTGGAAATTCTGGGGTCGGCTGATATGTTGGGGATGGGGCTGAGAGATATGGGGGTGGTGTGCCAAGTGCTCACGCAACCCTGAGAACACAGCTCGGAGAACGTGCTTAGCAACCCTGAGAACACAGCTCGGAGAACGTGCTTAGCTTGGGCTCCCTCCTTCATTTGAAGCACGCAGAGAAGAGGGGACAAGGATGGAAAACACTGATGTGCAGTCTAGCCTGGAAGACCCGGCTAGGAATCCCATATACAAGCTGTAAATAGACCAAGTCTTCAGAAAGAAGGCTAGTGGTGACATGCAAATATGCTGGACCTTCCTGTTGTCACTGCTTGTTTGGGAAGATCAGAGGCTCCAGGAGAGTAAATAACTTAAGATCAAGCAGCTGTCAGGAGCGGGAGGCACTCTGAATCCAGGCTCCAGGGCCTAGAGGCACCTGCAGCTCGACACCACCTACCTGCAGGGACAAGGCCAGGAGCACACACACTTGAAGTTTTACTGGTGGTCCTAACTGGGAACAGTTACACAGCAAGTGACAGTGAGCCAGATTTCAGACACAGGGAGACTGAAAGCATGTGCTACACCCAGCTCTGTGATAATTAGACAAAGAAACCCCTGGAAAGATGATCCTAAATCCCAAGTCACTTGCACTCACTAAGGTTTTTATAAATAAATGGCCCCAGAAAACACGGTAACACCAGCCCATGACTCCGACCCCAGACTCTACCAACCTGGGGGTTTACATTCCCCACCACAAAAGATGGGAGTGATTCTGCATGGAGGCTGCCCTGAGAACTAATGGCCGCACACAGGAAGCATCATTACAAGACCCGTGGAAGCATCTGTCCCATCTGGCACTGGCATGTTTTGCTATAGGAAATTAACTACAGGAGACCCAATGCACTTCCTTCTGTTCTACAGTGTAAGAAGAAAACTGATGAGAAGTTTCTGCTCTGTAATAAAAATTACAGAGACGCCATGCTCTTACACACACACACAGCAGAGTGGCAGACAACTATTGTTACAGTTCTCTGCACAAGGGAGGTAACCAGGGTACAGATACTAGGACACACAGCTAAGGGCAGGGAGTCCACTCATTGTGAGGGCTGCTAAGACAGAGCATTTAGTTTCCATAAGGTCTGAAGTATGAGTTCTCCATGAATCTTAATTAAATGATACCATGGCTTAAAAAGAAAAGGGAATGAAAGAATGAACTGTAAAAATATTCTTCTAATTTTCTAGATTAAACTGTAATACAGCCAGAAAGTGTCTTCAAAAAACTTCTAGGACTAATCCTTTAGCTGTTCCCATGCTAAGCACAGCACAGCACAGCACACACACACACACACACACACACACACACACACACACACAGGACCTAGAAAATGGTAAGAGTGGGCCATTTCTTTGGCTAAGAACCATAAATCATCCTACTGTCATTTTTCTAGTAACAGAAATCTTCTTAAATTTGAGTTTAAAAAAAAATTTAATTATGTTTCTGGGAGTAAGGGAGTTTGCATGAGTACATTGGCCACAGAGGCCAGCAGATCCTTTGGAGCTGGAGTTACAGGGGGTAGTGAGCCACCCCTGATGTGCTAGAAACCAAACTTGAAAGCACTGTAAGGGTGGTAGTTATGTTCTTATTGTTTTTGTTTTGTTTTGTTTTTCCATACAGGGTTTCTCTGTGTAGCCTTCGCTGTCCTGGAACTCATTCTGTAAACAAGGCTCACCTTGAACTCAGAGCCCCTGCCTCCTGAGTGCTGGGATTAAAGGTGCACGCCACCACCACCCCTAGTAGTAGGTGCTCTTAACTGCTGAGTTGTATCTACAGCCCCAAGTAAGAGAAATTGTAAAGTGACAGTAGATGCAGGAAAACTACATGATGTCTAACCCACCTATGAGCCTGATCTCATCCTGGTCCAGTTCTGAGCCCTTGAAAGAATCTCGTAAATCCACACAGCACACAGTGTTTGGTTATGTTCCCACAGGCAACCCCAGTGGCTGGAAAGAAAGGAGCATCCAACTCTGTTGCATGCAGAGGCTCTCTGTCAACATCACAAAATGTCCAAGAAATCTTCACTGAAAGCTTCTAAGCTAGCATCTCCTGCTGGAGGGATGGCAAGGACAGGGGAGCCCAGAAGGGCTGAGGAAGCTGCCCCTAGGCGACAGCTGCTCAACCACACCAGGAAGGCCCATAGGTAGGAAAGCAAGCAGGTCTGGTCCTCACTGCGCCCACCCTGTTTTACCCTGTGGCAAAAGGCCAACATTTGACAAGAGGGATAAGAATTTCAGCTCTGGAAACACTAGGAGCTTAAGCTCCTAGAGGACCAGACTCCTACTCTGCCATTTCCCTGTGAAATTTCCAGTCTTCGCATTCAATTTCCCTCATGGCTCCTCACTGATAAAATGCAATAATCATTCCCAGGTTCCAGTGAATTAACTAAAACTAGAAAGCATGTACTGAAAGCACTCAGCCCATGGAGCCCCCAAGAAGGACACCCATAAGCAATATTAAAAAGTTATTTCTACAATGGAGAAGGCCCAACAGCTCCAGCAGATTCATTTCCTCACTGGCCACTCGGCTGTTCTCGGATGGCTGAGCAGTGTACCTGTGTCAGGGCCTTTGCACTCACTGCTCTTGGACCCCAGAGCTCCCCATTTATCCTCATGCACTTTCCTGCTGGGTTTCTGTCATGTACATAGCAGACACCAATGTTTACCACTTATTTAAGCTGCTCAGCTCTGAGGCAGGCGATTTCCTCTGTGGTGCTTCTTCTGGTACTCGGGCACAAGAGAACAGCCCTGGCACCCAGTGGACATTGACTAATGGGGAGACTAACTGTCCCCAGCTTATCGTCACGTCACAAAACTTGGGTCACACAGACAGCCAATAAGGGTCTAGAGGCAGACTGCCCAGCAGCCTTGGGCCACCTGCAGCCCAGCTCTCGATGTTCTGGATAAGGATTGTTTTCCAGACAGCAAACCAGGTCTGACTGTCCATGCAAGGTAATCACTCCTCACTTTCCTGGCTAACCTTCACTGGATGAGGAACAGACATAGAAAACAATCTAGATTCAAAACAATCTCAGGATTCCAAAAAGTTAAAGAAAATCCAAATCCCCAAATGTTAGTTCACTGTATCCACTGAACAGGAGGCAGTAGCCAAAGGAGTAACGGGTGTGTGGCCATTCTCCGGCCAGCGTGCTCTAAACCAGAGCAATAAACATAGAGACAGCATGTAAGACAGCAGAAGCAGAATAAATGGTAGCATGCCATTTCCATGCTCGTGCCCTCTTGCCACCTCTGAGGTGAACATTCCTTGCTGAAACCTACCTAGTTCTGAGCAGCAGGGTCAGGAAACCAGTCTCTCTCCTACGTACGTCTGTATCTAGTGCTGTTAAGCTACATGGGCAACAAAGGCCATCCCGTGTGAATGCTAGTGTGTCTAAGATGAAGCAAAAATTGCTAAGAAGGACACAAAGAGCATCCTAGCTAGAAATGAAACTTAAGCATGAGTGCCAGCCAGTTGCATTGTCGCCTACCAACCCAAGCAGAAGCCTAGGCTCCACTGCTGGAGGCCTGTAAGGGCCTGAACTAAACACTGAAGGGCGTCCATCATCCCCTAAGGCAGACAGCTCCTTATGATGGGGCTCTGGTTTGGAAACACTACAGAAACTCATGTACTCCATCCAGAACAAAGAAAGGACACTACCAAACAACTCCTATGTGGGTTGGGAGGCCCTGATGGTAATTGCTTCCATGGTTTCAAGGGAAACAAAGGGTGAGTCCCATCGTGGCTCACCCTCCCCTTGCTGGGCTGCAGGGAACACAGTGTG